CGATTTAATGGCAGTAGCAACAGGAGAATCAAATGGGAGACATTATCTTTGGTGGACACGATAGCGAAATTTGCAAACAAATCGCACGACGGTTTGAACAGATCCCGGAGATGACAGCTGATGTTGAAACCGAGTGGCAGCTGTTTAACAACGATATACTCGAGGCTGTCGAAGAATACAGCGGATTTAAACAGATCGGCCTGCCGCCTGGAGGTCAAGAAAGATCTTAATGGTGGGTACGAGAGGTACAATTGGCAGTTAAAGAAAAGTAAGCACGTTCGGCGGCTGCGAAGGCACCGCCTAAAGCCAAAGCTGATTCCTGGAAAAAGTTTGGTGAGGTGTTGGAGTCGAATTTCTACACGACAAATGACGTATTCTAGCAGACCATCCGCCGTCTCCCAGGTGAAAGAAGAACAGTCTCATAGTCTTGAAGGACAGGTCTGAAACCCTCTTACCAAGGACGATGACATTCTCCGACGATAGAGGGAGTACTTTAAGGAACCACTTAACCTCGCGCAGCCGCAGGAAGATTCGCCTGTAGAGCAGCAGGCTATGTCTACAGATGAAGTTACACAATCTATGAAAGGGTTTAAAAGTGGTCAGGTTCCTGGAATTGGTGAAATCCGCGTAGAAATGCCCAAGGCACTAAGCGAATAAAGCAGGTTGGCTTACGCGTGTCTCTGAAACTGCGATGACTACGGGAAGGACACCAACGCACTAGAGAACGGGAGTTGTTATACCCTTATTCAGGAAAGGAGTGCTGCAATTATAGAGAAATTACGTTTTTGACGTAAAGTTAGTTGGAGTCGAATTTCCACACGACAAATGACGTATTATACCGGACCATCCGCCGTCTCCCGGGTAAAGTCTACGCGAATTTGTTAGAAAAGAGGTCTCGCGGAATAGCTGGCTGCAAGACATTGCTGACGAGCAGTGTGATTTCCGGCCCGATCGAATTACCTCTGACTGTATGTTTGCCCAGCGCGAGATTGTTGAGAAATCCTGGACGTACGCCCGTCCGGTGTACATGTGTTCTTTTGACTTAGGAAAACCTGTGACCAGATCCCACGCAACAGTCTGTGATCATACCTTCGAGCATGCGGGATAGATCGCCAGCTGCTAAGGGTCATCCAGTCACTGTATTCTGATAGTAGGTGGTGCGTCAGAGTTAATGGCGTTAAGTCGAAACCATTCAGCGTTCGCACTGGTTTCTGCCAAGGCTGCGTCCTGTCCCCAATCCTGTTTGTTTTGTACATGGATAGAATAGTCAGGAGCTGCCAAGGCGATGAGGGTGTATTGGAGATGTTAAGTCGAGAAG